AAAAAAAAAAAAAAGAAAAAGAAAGAAGCCAAAGAGGAAGGTACCTGGGTCCAACTGAAGCGCCAGCCTGCTCCACCCAGAGAAGCACACTTTGTGAGAACCAATGGGAAGGAGCCTGAGCTGCTGGAACCTATTCCCTATGAATTCATGGCATAATAGGTGTTAAAAAAATAAATAATAAAAGACCTCTGGACTGTAAAAAAAGAAAGAAAGAAAGAAAGAAACCTAAAGGCCTTTAGGAGTTTTAACCAGTGTACACCGTCTTCCTCACATGCTGCCTTGAGGGAGAACAATGAAGGTCATCCACATATTGCAGTAAAGTGGACCCATGAGGAAAGTGACATCCTTTAGGTTAGCCTTTAGAATTTGGGAAGTAAGACTCTCTCTCAGTGAAGCATTGGGCATAACGGTAAAGGTATACTGTTGGCCTTCCCAAGTAAAAGCAAAAGGTCTTGACTGTCCTGGCTGACCTGATGTTAAAGAAGACACTGCACAGGTCAATTGCAGTGAAGAACTTATCAGTTGGGACTGAGGTCAGCAAAGTATGGGGGTTTGGGAAGACTGAGTGGTGAGGTGCAACCATATTGTTTATCACGCAAAGATTCTGAACAACTCTCTACTCACAACCATTGAGTTTCTTTACTGGCATAATTGGAGTGTTAAAGAACTGGTACACGACGTAACAAAATCTTGTGCCTTATAATCTGCAGTGATGGCTTTTTATGACCAATAGATCTTCCTTGTTTGAGGTAATTTAAAGAGTCAGGAAGTTCCAGGATTGAGTCAGTTTGATCTGGTTTGTCAAATCCCAAAATTATTTTCCCCTTTTGGGAGAAAGAAATTCCTGCATGATGTTTGTCAAAAAGTGTGGCCAGACCAGGCACCGTGACTCATGCCTTTAATCCCAGCACTTTGGGAGGCTAAGACAGGTGGATCACTTGAGGCTAGGAGTTCAAGACCAACCTGGCCAACATGGCAAAACCCCATATCTACTAAATATACAAAAATTAGCTGGTCGTGGTGGCATGAGTCTGTAATCTCAGCTACTGGGGAGGCTGAGGCAGGAGGATTGCTTGAAGGTGGAGCAATCCTCCTTCAGGAGGTGGAGACTGCAATGCTCTGGCTGAGATCATGCCACTATACTCCATCCTGGGTGACAGAATGAGCCTTTGTCTCAAAAAAAGAAAAAATTAAATACGAAGAAAATACCTTGCCAGATTTTTCATGTTAAACCAGCCAATACTAAAATTGTTTAGATATGCAATTTGAACTCCAAGGTCTAAGTCAAATTACCTATGATAACCCATTAGTTATCAGTGCTATGCACCTAAATTGGAGAAACAACTGGTATTCAAGAGGACATAGTCCAATGTTAAGCATGACTCACGGAGAACCAGGTTGGCTGCCTTGTTCCTCCTGAGGCCTTAAGGCTTTTGTTATTAAAGGTTCTGTATTTTATGACTCATCGTAGAAAACATAAAATAATCCAAATTGAATATACTGATGTGGTTGACTTATAAATTGTGAAAAGTGTTTAAAACTAATGTTTCCACAGTCACCAGGGATGGCAGAGCTGAGGATGGAGCAGGCATCTGGGCTGTTCTCCTGGACGCGAGCAGAGTCCTATGGCTCTCAGACCTCTCTGAGCGGGGAGCTGCCTGGCAGCCCTGGATCATGGAAGAGAAAGTGCTAGAGGTTTATTATTTGATTCAAACTATCCCAGACCCAGCAAAGCCTAATACTTTAGAAGAACTGGAATTGGCAATGGAAAGTTGTGTGGAAGTTCAGAAGATAAATGAACAAGACTATGTGGTTATTATCAAGTTGACACCACAGTACCTCATTGATCTTTGGTGACTCTTGTGGAGCTGTGCTTAAGAGTAAAACTTCAGCCATGTTTACCATTTAAACATAAGTCGGAAATCTACATTTCTGAAGGAACTCACTCAACAGAAGAAGACATCAATAAGCAGATAAATGACAAAGAAAGAGTGGTGGCTGCAACTGAAAACCCCAACTTAGGGGAATTGTGGAACAGTATGCCCTTGAACCTGACTGGTAGCTGTTTTAAGAGCCACTGAACTGTAATTGATATATTTGTTTAAACTCTTCATATAACGTCAAAGACTCATGCTTAATACATGGGTGATTTGTACCTCAGAGCATTTTTGAAAGGATTTTTTCCAAGTGAGATTTAATTTTAAGGTAGTGCCTAATCTGTTCAGTGTATAACATTCTCAGGATTTGTAACACTTAAATGATCAGACAGAATAATATTTTGTAGTTATTATGTGTAAGGTGAGTTGGTATTTTTCTGATGCCTATTCTGATACAACTACTTTTCATGTCAAATATGTACTGTGCACAAATGTACTCAATTTAAATCATTACTCTGTAAAATAAATAAGTAGATGATTCTTGTAAAAACAATTAAAAAAGTAAAACTAATGCTTTGTTCCATATTCCTGGGAAGGTAATCAAACCTTCAGGTACATCTGGCCACCTGATGCATCATTTAATCATGTATAACGGGATTTCATTCCATTGTCATATTCAATGCATGTTTTATAACAGCTAATTATTATGCCAGAGTATATTTTCACCAGATAAAGTAAACTTTTTATGGTTCACTGAGGACAATCAACCCCTTCACAATCTAGAACCTGAAGACTGACTCTTCTGAGAACATCAGAGAAAGACTGTCCTCCCACACTGCAACAGAACTTTGGAAACCTGAACCTCAGGTTCATAATCAAACAGCTGAGAAGCGTCCCTCCACACTCTTGGAATGGTACGCTCATTGGAATCCCTAAGGTAAAACTAACCAGGGAAGTTTCTCCCCAGAAAAAGATGGCATCCTTGATGTGAACAGCTTTTCCCAAGATCACAGATCAAGACTTGTACTATCATGAGACTCTTACCTTTGAATATTTTTTCCTTGTTTATGCCTCTATGAACAATACAAATGAAAAAGGATTCTATTATGTTCACTTATAGGGTATATTTTCATTTGTGAAGGATTTTGCAGCCAGCCTTATACACGAGTAATCTTATACTTTGATAGATAAAAGATGAAGGTCCAATGCAGGAAAAAAAACAACTTTTTTTTTTCCCCATTTATTTATTTTATTGCATTTTAGGTTTTGGAAAAAAACAACTTTAATAGCGCATACACATTTCCTCATAATCAGTAAAAACTCCTCTTAATCCCCATCATGGGTTAAAGAGAACATTGCCAGGAGGACTTCACTTTTCTAGAAGGACATCATTTGTCAGGTCCTTTTTCTATGGTTTAGAATAAAATAGGCAATAGTTAGAAATGTATCCCGCATAATAGGCTCTCTAGCAGATTCTACTATAAAGGCTATCGTTACACAACAGACTCTAAATTCTCTTGTGGAAGTTATGCTAAATAACAGAAATAGCTAAACAGAAAAATATCTGTGCCACTGCTGGCACTTGTGGCCTATGGCGGAATACATTAAATGTAGATTATAAAAATTCAGTTGTAGGAGATTAATTAAAAAACCACTTAGTCAAGCGAGTAGACTCTTCATCTAGCTCATTCTTTAATCTATTTAATTTTAGGTGGTTTGGTTCATGGGGCCCTGGGTAAAGAACATACTCCTCCCAATAGTCCTAATAGTAGTCCCCCTGGTGTGCTGTACTTTCTCAAAGGTTTTAAATGTTTGCATGCAGCCATCTCTAGAACATCAATGGTCTCTCTTCAACTGTAATGAAAGAGCAAAAGAAACACGTGACCACGAGGATACCATAACCTATAAATAATGTGCCGACACCAGAAACCCAAAATGATGGCAACAGAGAGAGGTGCTAAGGCCCTAAGTAGTGGTCACACTCTCACTTAAGTGAGAACCTGACCAAAAAGGGATAATCTTTTTTAAAACAAATTTATGAGAGACCACTGTTTTGGACTCATGCATGAGGTCCCAACAGGCCAAACCAAACTAAAATGGAGTCACTTGTGCTAAATGCGACATAATCAAACCAAGACTTTAAGGATACACACAAATCCTAGAACACACCAGATTTTTTCTCCTGTAAACAGGATGTTCCAGCACAAACAGGTACTTTCTACTCAATCCTTGTTCCTACCTTTGGAAAACTTATGGTTCTACTGTTTCCCTGTGGGTTTCAGGAGCAAATTACTACATTTACAATGGGGATAGTGACAACTATAACTGAAGTGTTGGTCAATCTCTCAAAACTGAGAAAATGACCAAAAGAGGGGAGTTGTTAAAGTGAACTAAACATGGCCTGAGAAGGACATCACACTTCTATATTTGAGTGTTTATGGAGGCACTGCAACCTAGCTTAATAGACAGATTCAAAACCTAACAGGAGTGTGCAGCTGTAGCAATAGCTGAGTTCTGGCCAATCCCTGAGGCTGGACTTCATTTATACACTGCTGAGGGTTCGAACTGTGTTCAAATAAGGCAAACGCCAACCTGTAACTAATCCAGCCATTCTGCACTTCCCTTTCAATTTCTGTACATCAGTTATCTTTCTTTGTCTACATATCTTCCACCATGTGCCTGCACTGGAGTCTCTGTGAATCTGCTGTGATTCTGGGGGCTGTGTGATTCATGAATCGTTCATTGCCCAATTAAACTTTAAATTTAATTCGGCTGAAGTTTTTTTTAATCAAATGTAAACCAAAAATAAAAAATAAAATTCTAAGGCTCCCCAACCATCTAAATGGA